ACCTTCCAACTTCTTTGGCCCTTTGTATCTGAATATCTGAACTTTTTATTAACAGTTCTTACCAGCCATTTTTCCACGGCTGGTGACTTGATTCTTCTTAGGCTTTGAACCTGATGCCACACGTGAGCAACATAAGATACTTGTATGACAACTACTTAACACTTGATATCAGACTAATTCGCCAAGATATAGTACACACCAGCCCACACGACACACACACCACAACCAACACACCACAACACACCACCACACCACACACCCCACACAACACACACCACACACACACACACACGACCCAGAAAACCATGAGCACACTCGAGTGAGCAACAACTACAAGGAGGAAAATGGGGTCAGGGCATCTAAAGACGAGCTCCCCTGCTCCCTTTCAATCAAACTGCCTTTTCTTTGTCTTTGTTCTTTTTTTTTTGATTCAAATAGATTTACCTCACAGCAAAAATCCTCTAGCTTCCTTTCTTTCTTTCTTTTTTTCTTTCTTTCCATCTCTGCTTCCTTCACTTGCCTTCTCCTATGTTGAGGTATACCTTCCTTTTATTTTTATAATTTTTTCCCCATCTTCCTGAGGCTACACCTTTGTCACTGCTTCTTATTATTTTAGAGTTTAAACCATGTTTAGAACCAACAGCCATTAAACTAATGTGAAATTTATTTATTTCCCTCTTTCTTCCCCCTCTTGCTTTCACCTCCCTGTCTCCTCCTGTTCCCTGAAATGCTGTGAGCTTTCTCACCTCCTGTTTTCACATTCAATAATGTCAGGGGTGTTGCTGTTGGCATCTGAGTCACGTGCCAAAAAATTCCCCCCGGAGCAATTCAGATGAATCACTATTCAAGAGGTGGAAGACTTTTAATGTTAGTGTAATAAAAACACAATAAACAACATCCTTAACTCCCATGCATAATTGTTCAGCACAGCCTTCTGAACTTGGATTTCCTGTGGGAAATGTGCATTAATATGATAGTGACTGTCTAACTCACTTTCTATTTCATATCTGCTATTTCTGTTTGATATGCATGGCACTACAGGAAAATACATCTGCAGCGTGTTTGATTTTAATGAATGTGGGCAATTTATTTTTAGTCTGAAAGTGTATACCAGTAAGAACAGTCGCAGTAGTAGCAATTAGTAGCACTTTAGTGGTTAAGCTTTAACAATTACCTATACAGGGTGATGCTATGATCATAATGTCCTCAGTTTTCTTCATCCCACTTAGTTTAGTTAGTGTTGTGATTGGTTGGACAGAAATAAATGCATATTTACATTTATTTCTACAGTTCTAATTCTTGAAGGTGCAGTGTGTAACATTTAGGAGGACGTATGGGCATAAATGGAATATAATATTCATAGGCATGTTTTTATTAGTGTATAGTTTCCTTAGAATGAGCCGCTTTTATCTACAGAGAAAGCGGGTCATCTTCTAATAGCATTTTTCTACAGTAGCTCACAACAGACAAACCAAATACTGTCTCTAGATAAAGGGCCTTTTTCACTACTTTCGCAGCCACTGTACTTTCTGCTCCATGCTTTGAACAGGAGTGAGGAGTGAGGCGAGGGGGGTGTAATCTGCAACTGCACCGCCACTAAATCATGCACACTGGTCCATTAAGATTTGAATTACACCAGTTAATGTATTTGCATTTTTAATTTTTTAGATTGAATAAAAAAAGATGTAATTTTTGTGTTTTACTCCCCATTTTAATTTACAATTCAATTTACAGTTGATTGGAATTAAACACATCTCTGTTTTGCTAGGTGTCTCTACTTTTAGCCTACTGTTGATATTTATTTAATAAATTAATTCATGTTTTAGTATTTTAGTATTTAGTATTTTAAGAAAATAAAACTGCCAGTCAAATCCACATCGTTATTTGAAAAATGTAACACAATGACTTCTCTCAGCCCATATTTTGTTGGGTTGCACTGTAAACAGACACACTTTTTCTGTTGTATTTCTGACATAGCAGCCCCTCCAGGTTTGTTTGCTGCCCCCAGTGGTCAATACACACTTCCTGTTAGCACCAGCAACAACAGGTGTTGCCAGGATTGAAATCATATAATTTTTTTAAATATCTTTAAGATAAGGAATTCCTATATATGTGTTCATTTATTTTCTTTTGGTTGATTTGTTAGGCAGCAGGCCTTCAGGTGAAGTTGGTGAACATGGTGCTGATAACACATCTTTATGAGACATTTTAACATTAAAAGGGGAAATTTTCACTCTTTGGTGGCCAACAAAGAGAAGCTGTATAGCGGTAACTTCCTGAGTGAATTCCTCAGATGAACAAAGTCACGACATGGAAGCAGAGTACACACACACACCCACTCCTGCCCTAGGAGATGGTGCTGCAGTACTGAAGCGCCATTGAACGGAAACACACGCCAAAGACCCACACACACACCAAGCAGGGAGAGCATAGTGCGGCTAAGAAGTCAGTGAGGTGTGAATGGTTTCCTCGCGCCTTTTCACACCCTCTCACCTGCTCCCACACAACCAATCATTTAGTACACTATCCTCTCACACAGCTGTACATCACTCCTCTCCAGGAAGTAAATTGTTTTTCTCCTGTTTGCGTGTTATTTTCTCTTGTGCTGAAAGTTAATATTAAATATGTTTTCTACAGAATTTTCTCTTCTTCTCAGACTTTGTCCTTTAAATAAAGCGCATAATATTTATTATAACTGCTAATATGCATTTTTTGCCCTCCTTTTCGTCTCCTCCCAGGTCTGTGTAACTCACTGGAGAGCTGGATGATTGTTCCCAACATCAAGCAGAACCACTACACGGTGCACGGTCTGCAGAGCGGCACCAAGTATATCTTTGTTGTCAAGGCCATTAACCAAGCGGGAAGCAGGAGCAGTGAACCGGGGACTCTAAAGACCAACAGTAAGCACGACTGAAAACGAACATCCTGCATGGGATCGACTTTTACTGAAAATTCATTGGGAAACGCCCACACAGAAGTAGCATATTCGATATTCACTTTTTTTTGTCCCCCTCGGCAAATATGAAATTGAATTAACTGAAAATAAACGAGCTGTTCTTAAAAGAATGTTGCTTGTTCTCAGTATTCCCAAATAAGTGTTCATTTCCTCCTCTCTTCTGCCAGGCCAGCCATTTAAGCTGGACCCGAAATCGGCCCACAAGAAGCTGAAGGTGTCCCACGATAACCTGACAGTGGAGCGGGACGAAACCACGTCCAAGAAAGGCCACAGCCAGGACCGCTTCACCAGCCAGAGCAGCTACGGCGTGGTGGGCAACGTCTATATCGACAGTGGTCGTCACTACTGGGAGGCTTTGATCGGAGGGAGCACATGGTGAGGTTTGACGGCACACATTTCGTGAAGTAAAAGTCGGGGGTTTGTCATTTTCCCGATTGATAACAGAATCTCCCGATCCCCCTCAGGTACGCTGTGGGCATAGCCTACAAATCAGCTCCCAAGCACGAGTGGATCGGCAAGAACTCGGCCTCCTGGGTGCTCTGCCGCTGCAACAACTCCTGGGTAGTCCGCCATAACAGCAAGGAGCTGGCCATCGAGCCCTCGCCCCACCTGCGACGCGTTGGGGTCCTGCTTGACTACGACGCCGGCTACTTGACCTTCTATGACGCGGTGGGCTCCCAGCACCTGCACACATTTCACGTCTCCTTCATCCAGCCCGTGTGTCCCGTGTTCAACGTGTGGAATAAGTGTCTGACGATTCTCACTGGTCTACCTATCCCCGACCATTTAGAGGGACTGGATCCCCAAGACTGAAAACTACAAGAATAAATCAGCATAAACTCGTTTTAATCATCTTGAAGCTGCACTGGGCAAGATTTGTGAAAAGGATCATCTTTGAATAGAGAACAGAAGAGTGTCCCATCCTTTTTTTAAATCATAAAGATCTGCTCTATTTACCTAAATTAAATTCTGGTCTTGTCTCACTTTTATTGCACCCAGAGGCAGTGACGAAACAATGAGTGAAATACGAACTGCCTCCTAAACAGCAAGCTAGCAAGCAAAACTGGACTCACCAGTGTTGATATATTCTCCTTTTCCCATTCGGTTTCTTTGGCACATGCCGTCACAGACATGAGCACGTGAGTCGCCCAAGGACATTACTTTCTCAATCCAAGTAATTGAAACACTTGGTGCAAATTGACCTATTGCAGCTTTAATATGCAAAGAAAAAAGAAGAGATGCCTGGGTCTTATTTTATAAAGTTCGTCAAAGTGATTTTCAGTTGTTTGCTATGAATCTTAAAAGCAAATATGATGCTGGTTCATGCCATCTTTGACTCTTAGAAAAAACTATTCTAGATGGATGACAGTAAGCTGGAGTCAATCCAGAAGAAACCAGGACAAATGGACAGAGCTGAGTCAGAAATTCCTACTCGAAGGCACTTTGGGCCACGATGGGCGTGTTTGTACCACTGCGTCTAGGAAACAAGCCACAAATCAATTTCTAATTTTCACCTTATCAGATATAGCACTTTGAAAATCTCTGAAAGTACACACACATACACTTACACAGAATACACACACACACACACACACACACACACACACACACACAAAAACAAGTGCGAATACACACACACCTCCCCAACTTTAATCAATCGCGGTTGCTGGGAAGAGCAGAATAATAGATGTATATTTTGTAAATGCACCCCCCCTTATCTTTCCCTTGTTCATTAAAAAGGAACCAAAGTAGCCATTGCTTGTCTGTTCAGATGTCTTTACATAAATTTTACATAAGTTAATAAATGCTGAATTATTTTTAAAAACATGACAGAGAGGAAAATAGCGTTATGCTAATATTAAATGCAGGATTCCCTTAAAGGTAGACCTTGTTTTTGCACATTGTTCATACTTTATTCATCGTTTTGTAGCCTAAAAATCTAATTCATTTTGGTGCAATTAACATGCATTCATATTGGGAAAGTGTTGTGTTCTGTTTGACTTATTGTGTTAATTTCCTTTTTAGGCAGCCAGACAAGTCTTGCCGTTATGATTTTATGTGATACATAATATGTGAAGTTGTGTTACAGTTGTAGCCCCAGGTTATTATTGGAGCTAGGAGGTAAAATGCTCATTTGGGTGTAATTGTTTTTTTCCTCTCTCTCCTATAAAACAAGTGAGACCTATTTGTGCCAGTGTGCCAATACTCCAGACTCATTCATTTGCTTTTAACAAAGACTGTCTTTGCAAAATCTTAAATTTTACATGTCATTTTCACACTAAGGTCTTATTTCATCAATGCAGCGTATTGTTTAAAAAGGTTGAATTACTCTCTATAGAAAACACACTTTCACATTATTGAAACAACGCAGCCATGCACAGGGAGCTGTCCTCAGTCTTGTCGCACATTGATGATGTCACTCTTCACTCATTGGCTGAATCTTGATTTGAGTTTCTTGCTATGTAAACGGGACAAAATGGCCTCAATGAGATTCAGAAAGGCCCTTACAACAAAATCTCTCTAAGGGTTGCTGTCAATTCTATATAATCTTATCCTAATGTGACAAACAGTGACAAAAATGGCACTCCTTAGTGTAAATACGAAGATTTGTTTGTAATTTTCAATGTTGCTTTGTTTCAATAGCTGGTACACTTAAAAGTATGACAACAAATAACGATCTATTCTTTAACTCTGTGATTCCTTGGCAATTAATTGAACTGTACGTTTTCATTGTACATGATACGAATATGTAGTGCTTAATTTAATGTTTCCATTTGAACTTTATGACCATGGTGTTACATGTTGTGTCTCTGTAGACATTTTTATGGAAAACAGGATATGTGAGCTTGCATCACTGTCGTCTGAGATGTGTTTATGAGAAGGTCAAAAATAAACGTTGTTCCTTTTCACATTAAAGTGTGCTTTTTTCTTTTTATCCAGTGAGGAAGCAGTGTGAGAATGTCAAGAGTCGATCTCATAAAACAGGACGGGGTGAAATGCCAGGAGCCGTTTCTGTCTTTCTGTCTGGGGGACGTACAAACAAAGATCACATTTTGAAGAAATTGAAGCAGTCCCATTCAATAAATTCAGACTATGGCATTTTGGTATGTGTAAAGTTACCGGTGCCCTTCAGGAAGGCACTGCACTTCAATGCTGTAAGCATGGATTCATTTTTTTTTTCCAATTAAAAACCCAAAATCTGGTCGGACATGATATATGTCTCTTATCAGCTTGGTCAATTCCCCATGTATTTAACATTGAATTTGCTGTTTCAAGATATTTTTAGATCTATTGCGCCCAGTGGGGTCTAACCATCTTGATAACACAATAAGGGAATAAGGTCATTATCTTTTCTATAACAGCATTATTGAAACTTCATCTACTGTGGGAACAGATGCTGCACAAGGCATCAAACATCTGTACTTTTTCTTACACGTGATGAATCATCCAGGCAGACACTAAAGTCAAACTCCATAAGTTTAGACCTCAACTTGCTGAGTTCACTCGAGTTTATGAATTTCCTGTGGAAGTAGAAGCTGTTGAGTTTATCATGTGAACTTCCCGCGGACAACAGGGGCTCTTCCTGATTCTCCAGGAGCAATTGTTCTTAGACGCCAGGCTTCAGTGGGGGTATTTGTCTGAACGGCTAGCGTTAGCCGCAGCTTTGTGTGTGTGTCGTTCACACGGTTCAGTGGCCCGAGTGGGGCAAAATGAGTTTACCCAGCGCTCCACTGAGCAAACAATAAAAGGACACAAAGGCAATTTGCAGGTCGCCATCCACAAATAATGGAGGTGTGCACTTTGTTTGTCTGTAATTCAACCTGTGATACAGAGAATATGTTAAAGATAGCATGGCTAGACTTCTCTCTGTTGCTGTCAAAAACGTTGATGCCAGTCATCCGTGCTACTTTCTATAAGATACAAGACGCAAAACATGCATTTACTATCGGCATAGAAATAGTAATGCCTAAATGTCTGTAGAAATCCACATTAAACTCAACATGAGAAAGCACAGCTAAGAATCTGGATTCCTGACTGAATATAATTAGTAGAATGTGTCAACACAATTAGTTTCACAGTGACAGAATTATACTCATTGCATATTAAATGTATGAAATCATGAGTCACAATATTAGGGCCATCTGTGCTTCTCTAAAAGGAGCAAGCCAAGCATAAATCGTCTAATTTCTTGATAGGTGGATGTCCACAGAGAGCAATTATCTTGCCTCTGAGACTACTTTACGTACAGTGTATCATACTCTGCTGTCATACACTTTGTTCTTAACCCATTAATGACTGTACGACTATATTAAGTATGTTAAGGAAAACCACACAGAATAGTTTCTGTTAGAAGTAGAAAGACTTATTTTAAAAGTGCAACAAATCCCAATAAATTTTAGAAATTGTTCTGAATACCAAACATTTGGTATAACTCTGTATAATTTTTTAAGGTACATCTATTAGGGGTTACTCATTTTATCCCATAAGAATACATTATACAGTGTCTCTTAGGTCTGCAAAATGGAAATACCGGACCAATAATTAAGTAATAAGCAACATATTATCATTTTTCTTTTTGAATCTATCTTGTAACCGTGTATATGTAGCCTCATACATTTAGAAATTTTCTGTGGATTTGTGCTTAGCTCAGCTAGTATTTCAAGTACTGTAAAGTAAATTCCACTGTGGACATGTCAGTCCTTGATACGTGGACCTCCGTAGAGAGCAATTATCTCCTGAAGACTTGCCACTGAGACTAACCTTCCACACACAGTCTATCATACTCTCTGTCATATGTTCTGTTCCTAAGTGTCCCTCACGTGACATGAAAGAATTCATTGTTGGCCTATTTCAATGGAGGTATGCCTTGAGATTTTCTAAAGTCACTGTCAAACTATTGCATTCACGTAATCAATAATAAAAATCAAACTTCTTGGCACTAAATTCTGACCTTTTCCTCCAAGCTAATACAATTTAAGCCAAGTTAAATGTTCTTTCTGACCCTCTTGTGTTCTCATTCAAGACTTTGTGTGACATTTCAAACAATCGATACAGTAACTTAATGCATCTTGGGATTTTGCTGTTTGGCTGAAATGCATCGCAAAGGTTGAGGACCAACTATTTTATTAACCTATATCAAGGGAAGGATTTGCTAAGCTTGTGTGCTGTTTTTTTTTTCTTTCCACACAGCCTTGGTTCACATACAGTGACGTACCACTATAGTCACACTCTAAAACTGGTGTGAAGGTCCAACAGCTTAAAGAGCTCAGGCCTGATTTTGCCTTAAGGGCACCGTGAATATATTTTAGCAAGAAGCAGGAACTGTTATTCATTCCCCCCCCCAATGGGCCTTGAAATTTGAACCACTGACCCTCCTTCACAAGACCACTTCACTTTCCTTTAGGCAAACACTGTCCCACTTTTGTACATAACATCAGGCCAAAGATGGTTCAGTGTGTTGCTGCTTGTGCTGCTACCACTGCAACCACAGTTGTTATAGGCAGTCTTGAGGCTCAAAATTCCCGAGAGGATTTTTACAGCCAAGCCACAGCGCAGAGAGAGAGAGACAAGACTCAGACACAGCCTCTCTTCTCCTGGGGGAACTGTGCATGTATAGGCCCTTGCCATCCTGATGAATATGTGTGTGTGCGTGTGTGTTAAGCGAACTCGGGCATGTGTCAGTAGCTACTTGCTGACAATTTTGCATTTCAAGCAAATAGGCAATGGCAGCATTTTGAGAGATGAGCAGTAGGGCAATAATAGTAACTCCCTCAGGAGTGAATCTGGAAAATGGGACAGATGTTGGTACAGAAGCACTGAAACAACAAAGACAAAATAAAGCTAGGTTGAACTGGTCTGTTTTGTATATAAACGCTGCACATGTGCTTTCAAACCATCACATGGTGAAGAACTAATGGGAAATATAATCGTGTGGTCTTAAAATATGATTTGCAAAAGCTTTTCTCTCCATGCCCTCTTGTAGCATAGAAAAAATCAATCCTTAAAATGTCCAGCAGATGTCACTGTTAGGATTCAGGAAAATAAGCATACAGGCACGCCATAGAAATGTCAGTGGATTATGGACGGTAATTGGCAACAGAACTATTGACTATTGAACTCCCCTCTACATAGACCAAGTGTGTGTTTGTGTGTGTCAATGATCATGTCAAAGAAAGTCGTATTTCCAAGGAGCCAAATCAATTAATTGTTATGTTATGGTAATCAATAAACAATCCATGCATATTAAATCCATGTGTTTCAGTATTGCTATTAAATTCTCAATCTGGTAGTTTTTTTTGGGATACTGTTCATTCATTCAAGTAAGAGTTTAGTTTAGGGTATGGGCAGAGTAAATGTGCTAGAATAAGTCATAAGGCTTGACTTCAGTCATAATGTTGCATAGTGTTTTGTGAAGATGCAATCAGGAGTGTTTGTAAGATCTCAACCTCACTTCCTATACTGAACATTCAGGTACAAACTGTATGCATGTGGTTAAGTAACAGTTATCATAATAACTAGGAATACAACAGCTTCACAAAGGTAAAAGCAGAGAAAATCATTGTGTTGTGTCAGATATATAAAAACTGGTTCCTGAAGCAAGATCATTTTCTCAAGGATCCGAGATGTCTGACAGACTGTCCTTCAAACCACCAAAAAACTGTTCAATGCCCAATGTCAACAAACATACTGCCTGACTGAGGTGAGCAAAGATACTGAAGCCAAACCACCTCCAGAGATGCCGTTTATGTGGTTTGTGCCTTTTATCCTAAGGGGATTATTTCACTGTCATAGTATTATTAAACATTACATGCTAAATAGCCACTATTTGAGAAATCTCACACCCACTCTGACAAAATAATTGCTAGTGTGATGGTAAAATTATCATTATTATGGGAAAGTTATTAGCTATTGTGGCTAACAGGTTTCAGGTCAATCATTAGCAGAGAGGTGGAGAGAGCAGCTGCAGGCCTCTCTGTGGGCTCTGATAGTCTCTCTGACAGTGAATGGAAGGTGATATTGTCTTCTGTTTGCTGTGCGACAGAGATTTTCCACTGAAGGCAGTCAACCATCTGCTTTGATACGCTGTTGCCAAACTGTTCCACCTTCTGGTCAAGCTACTCGGTGACCATCACAGCTGTGGAGTTTCCTGCCAGCAAGATTCCAGGAACTTGGCTGACAACCGGTGCATGCAGTTGAATGGCCGGGGTCTTAAGGGGCTTTTTGGATCTAAAAAGAAAATGGCCCTTTTTCACTAGTACCTCTCAGGAAGGGGATGCTCTGGGGTTTGGGCTGCCTAAGGAGGGCACCCAAAATGAGGGAGGGTGAAGTCGGCCCACGAGGGGCCCAAAGCTGTCCTGGCCCAGTCCGTACCATAACAACTGACCTAGGAAAATCCTCCAAAGAGGAGCCCCCGAGCTTGTTGCCCTGGCTCTATTCTCAAGATGTCGGAAGGTTAGGAGAAGTGAAGGGGAGGTAGTCCCACGTCTTTAAGTCTGCAATTAGACCTCACACCGTCGGTGCTAAAAATTGCATGGCTAGCTGGTTAAAAAGGGGGATTCTTGACAGACAAGAAGCAGGTTATTTCCATTGTTGCCTCTTCCATCCTGGGCTTTCCAGCACCACTAAAAGCCTGTTTCTGCCTCCAAGTGCAATTCCTTCGTACAACAAATTCAATCTTCTTCCTTTCAGGTGTGAAAGCTTGTGGATCTAAATATAGCAAACCAACCTAGCCCTCCTTTGAAAACAAATTAGGGGCCTTACTCCTCACACCCACACTAGCTTTGGTCTCATTCCCAAGCCCACTCTCCCCTGAAAGGAGAGCAGACAGATATAGGCTCGTAAATGAGAATCAGGTCCAGCGCACCTTCTTATCAGGACTCCCCTTACCTCTCGCTACCTCCTAAACAATGCTCAGC